ATTTAGCAATATAGCAGGATACAAAAGAAACACAAAAATCAATAGTGTTCTTGTACACCAATAATGAACCCATTAGCAACAAAATTAGGAAAACAACACCATTCACAATAGCATCAAGAAAAATTAAATATTTATGTAGATTTAATTTTTTTTTTTTGGTACCAGGGATCAAACTTGGGACCTTGCACTTGCAAGGCAGGAGGTAGAACCACTGAGCTAAATCCCTGGTCCTAGAAAAATTAAATATTTATGCATGAACATAACTAAGGAAGTGAAAGACCTCTACAACTAAAACTACAGTACTCTGAAAAAGGAGCTCTAAGAAGACACTGGAAAAATGGAAATACCCTGTTCCTGGATAGACAGAATAAATATTGTCAAAATGGACATACTTCCCAAAAGTGATACATAGATTTAATGCAATCCCAAATGAAAACACCATCTGCCTTCCTCACAAAACTAGAGAAAATAATCCTAAAAATTATATAGAACCAGAAAAGACCCAGAATAGCAAAAGCAATCCTGAGCAACAAGAACAAAGCATGAGGTATCACAAACCTGGACTTCGAGTTATATTACAAAGCTACAATGATAAAAAGACCACCAGAGTGGCACAAAACAGACAGATTAGTGGAACAGAATAGTGGATGGTGAAATAATCCCAGGTTAATTCAGCTATCTGATCTTTGACAAAAAAATATGCTGGAGGAAAGATAGCCTTTTTAGCAAATGGTGCTGGGAAAACTGGCTATCCACATGCCAGAGGATTGAATCTAGACTCAAATCTCTCACCATGTACTCAACTAAAATCTATCTAAATATTAAAACAGAAACACTTAACCTGCTGGAAGATAAAATAGGTAAAACTCTTGAAGACATAGATGTAGGCAAGAATTTTATGAACAGAACCTCAACTGGACAAGAAATAACATTAAGAATGAACAAATGCAATGATCTCCAATTAAAAAGTTTCTGCACAGCAAGAGAAACAACCAACAGAGTGGAGAGAAAATCTACAGAAGGGGAAACCATTGTGCAAGCTACGCCTTGCCTCAGACAGAGGACATGTCTAGGATACAAGGACTCAAAACAATTTGAACCCCCAAAATAAAAGATACAATAAAAAATGGGCCAGCAAAATGCATAGATGCTTCTCAGAAGAAGTACAAATGGCTAATAATACCTGAAAAAATGTTCAACATCTCTAGCTATTAGAAAAATGTAAATTAAAACAATACTGAGATTCCACCTCATTTCAGAAATAATAGTTGTCATCAAAAACACAACAAAACACCAAATAATAATAAATGCCTACAAGGTTGTGGGGAGTGCGGGGGTAGGAACTCTTTTACACTGTTAGTGAGAATGTAAAATAGTATAACCACTATGGAAATCAGCATGGAGAATTGTCAAAAAACTGAAAATATAAATCCCATTCAACCCAGCTATTCCCCTTCTAGGTATCTTCACAAAAGAATTAAATACATCCTGGGCTGGGGACTTAGCTCAGTGGTTTTGCCGCCTGCTGCGCAGGCGCAAGGACCCAAGTTCGATCCCTGGTACCAAAAAAAAAAAAAAAAGAATTAAATACATCCTATTACAGTGATCCTTACATACTCATGTTTATAGCAACACAATTCATAATAGTGGAGAGGTGGGTCAGCCTCTATCCTTGAACATTCTGGAAAAAATGGAGGAAGCATAAAGTGCAGTGAAATAAATCTGACATTCAAGCTTAAATACTGCATGGTTTTTCTTATATAAGAAACCAAAAATATAAATGAATTAAAGCACAAAATAACAGACAGGTAATAGGAAACAGGGAGCTAGATCATTTGCAAATGAGAAGACCAAGAGATGAAGGGAGGAAGGAGGAAGCAGAGAAGAGTACATAAAATGAATTAAGATGTGTCATGTACATGTATCAATACTATACAAGGAGTGTAATCATTATTTACTGAAAACATGTACTAATTAAGAAGAGTAATGAAATAATATCTAAAAACAGATTGGTGCCATTATAAACACTTTGATGTGATATATGACATGATAACCACATTAGAACAGAAGTTCAATGAAGACTTTTGATCTGATTAACAAATCTGGGGTTTGACGTAAAAGTAGTTAACCTTAAGAGGTGTTGGTTCAGATGAATGTGAGGCACAGTCAGGGTTATGCCCTTTCCTTATTCAATGGAAATGTTACCTCAGAGTAACACCAAGGATGGGCACCAAGTTTGAGAACATATAATAAAGTTGTTTGCTAAATTTCATTATAACAGTGATAAAATCTTTCTTAAGTTTCCAGATTTTTCATAGGTATCTTATATAATTTTTAGTGAAGGCTAAAACTATGAAATAACTCCTTAAAGAATAATATCAGTGATGCTAATATTTAGTGTACTATTGATGCATTTATATGATCTCATGATTCTCAGAGGAAACTTCTTTGACAGATATAGAAACAATTACATCAACTGGGTGAGTTTGCCCAAGGTCACCCAGGAATTATCCGAAGTCAGGCTCTATAGCCTGGCTGCTTCAGGACTGTGTTTATTCTCACGAGATGCTGTGCTAAGTACCTTCTATATATTTTTTTAGTTAAGTCTCAAAATGACCTTGTGAGGTGTATAGAGTCATCTCTATTTTACAGATAGAAAATGAGGATTCATAAGGTCAACTGATAGTCACAAGTGACACAGTTGGAGAAATTCCAACTCAGCTGTTCCGTGTTCATATCCTGCTGGTGCCCCTGGCTAACCTGTTAATTTCTTTTCAGAATTGTACTGACTGAACTGTCATCAAAATAACTTGTACAGGTTGGTGACAGTAAAAGGCCAAAACAAAACACTGAAATTTCTTAAAGTATTTACAAGGACTATTTATAAGCAGTATCAACTGATGATACAAAAGTCTGACATTCTAGAAGAAAAAACAAAAATAGGAGGGTAATTCATCAAATGAGTGAGCCATACTATCTGCTTTGATAACATTTTATATTCAGAAGCAGGCTTTTAGCTGGTCCCTGCTGAAGCATCTAAATAGCTGAATAATCTCAGCCAAAACACAATCTCTCTGTACTTCAGCTTCCTTTTACACAAAATAGGGTTGTAATACCAGCTTCCTTTTATTCCCATGCATTAGCTACAAAACAGCTTGCCTTAGTTATGTGGCTCAAGATAAACCAAGTGATTTAGTTTATACTTGCAATGTACAGCTCATTTGTGCAGTAGCAGAGTGACTTGGTTGTTCCCATGTTATATCTTAATAGCTTCAATATTGGGTAATATAACATTTTAGAAGATCAATCACATTTACCTATGGTTGATTGTCATCAGCCAAGTGAAAAATTATTTTTACAGTTATTTACATTCATCTCTCATCCAAATAAACATAATTAGTTCAAAATTTTTTGTCAGCAAAAATTTACACAAATGAACATTTATTAATAATAAATTTAATGTGACAACTAGTAGGGTTTCATTTATAGGGAAAGTAAGATCAAAAATTAAATTAGTTATCCCAATAATATGCATGATTAGAATAAATGTGAGAAACATTTAAACTTTGAGACTTAAAATATTTATTTAAAATATTTTGGCAGCAACACAGAATTTGGTAAGAGTTATAGTATTAACACTTGCTAGCCCATCAGTTGTTTGTTGTCTATACACACTGTTATGGCTTGTGTCTAGATATTCCCCCAAAGCCTCATGCAGTCACAGGTGGGGCTTTTCAGAAGTAACTAGATCTAGGGTGTGTGATGCTGATTTTAATTCATGATGCAATGCTAGGATTAAGGCTGCCCCACCCTAGGTGTGATTGCTACCCCAATATAAGGGAAAGAAATATGGTTGCTGTGGTCACTATTGCTTGTTGCTGCTTGCTGCATTGCTGTCTCCTGCCTGCTTGCCATGGACTATTTCTCCTCTGCCATGCCAGCTTGCCTTGGAGTCAGTCAATTATGGGCTGAAATCTCTACTAACTGTGAGCCAAAATAAACTATTCCTTCTTTAACTGGGTGTCAAGTATTTTGTCTCAGCAATGAAAAAAGTAACTAAGACACACACACTTAGCATAGGCTGGCAATGGCCCTTGTGATGTTTGGGAAGCACTGTTGTACAATGTAAAGGCTATATGAAACTGATGCTGTGTGAGAGAAGAGTGCTCTGGGATATATTGATATTCACTATATAGGCTTTTGAACATAATGGAGTACACTCGTGAACAAGAACTGCTCATGTAGCAAAACTGATTACATCAGTACATAGTCCTCAGTTAAAACCACTAAAGAGTTTTCTCATTAAATCCTCACAATGGCTTTTGTGAGGTGTTCCCAGCCATTTGCATTTTGCAGATGGTAAAATGAGACTCAGAGAGGTTAAAGAACTAGTCCAGATTCTCAAAACTGCTGATTCCACCTCAATTCTACCTGTCCCTGAGGCTTACACCACAGAGTAACATATTAAAATGCTTCAGGTAAATTGTTCATTTCTTTTGAGAATATTAATGCAAATTTAACAGTAACTAACCTATGCCCCTGAATGACTCTAGGAAGCCAAACTGAGCGATAGGGGTGATAGGAGTACTAGTGCCACTGCTGTGTGGTCCTGTCTTTACTCTGTCACCCAGAGGGCTGTGTTTCCTGGAGGAAAGAACAATGAAGTCACAAAGTAAACACTGCTTGAATGTCACACTTGAGAAACTGAAGAATCTCAAAGTTCTTTAGGGGTTCACATTTATAAAACACTAAAAAATGACATTGCTGGTTTGTTTTAGTGAAGCTACACTTATGTTCAGTAATGAAGTTCTGAAACTTTATCTGTACCTTAGCAAAACACCAATTGATAATTACAATTTTACTAGCTGACTCTCAGGACATCAACAATAGTAAATTCATGTCAAACGTGGTAAGAATGACTACTTTAGTCTATGTAATTATTTCTCAAAAAGAAAAAGAAACCTCATATTGAAAGCAATAGCAAATCCGAGTTTACATACCTTCTTCTTGTTGATAAAAGTTTCATGGTATTTTTGTGATGTAGATAAAAATCTGTTGGGAGTTCCCAGAGATGAGGTTTCCCGTCAGTGGGATGGAAAACACCCAGGAAGAGATTAATGGAATCTTGTCTGTCTGCATCTACAGAGCAAAAATATGTATTTCAGAAAACCCATTACTGGTATAGATAATTCAGAAGAATATCTTCCCAGAAGCATAATGATACAAGTGTGATTTCGTAGTTCAGAAAATAAAGGCAGCATTTATATTTCAAACTTCACACAAATCACACAATCTAAACAGTCACTAAGCTTCAAGCAGAATTAAAATCTTCAAAATGTTTTTTTTGTTTCATACTTTTTATAATGTATAGAATAGTGAGTATGAACAAATGCCTCTCGAAAATTAACTCTTAAAAATCTTTAAAAATTCCCTTTTATACCTTAGTGACTAGTTTTATTTTTAAAATGAACACATCCATCCTCATCATTTGTTAGTTTACCTTTAAAGATAAGTAAACTGGTCAGAGACAAATGACCCAATTCCCGCACATATTCTCTTGCACAGTCTTGAATGAGTCAGTTGCATAGTTTCCACTTTTAATTCTTTAACAGATACAATGTTCACAATATTTCCTGGTCCTCTTGGCTATAAGCCTGGCCCATTCTTTTTTTGTGGTTGACAGTGAAGACAAGGGCACATGAATAACAGCTCATTCTAACTATTTCTACTCCAAAATAACCCTTTCAAATTATTAATACGAACTAATACAGCTGACTCTACATAAGTTCTGTTTTCTCTTCCTTTTCCTGATTATATTTTGGTATATATAATAATTAACGCCAAAATTGTCTCATGCACATTTCTACACTTCTCCCTGGAGCCCTTTATTCATTTCCCTTATTTCCTTCTTCCCATTCTTGAGTCCAGTATACTCGTGTTTATGGCAGATATACACAATAGAAATAATAACTTCTTCCCAAAAGTGAGTATAGGACTAAAAAGGTACCACAATAGAAATGACTACTTTTGGAATAAAATAACATTATCATAAAATCAATTTTCTTCCAACAGCTTCAGTGAACATATATATCTGAAATTAGTATTGGGTTATATTATCATTTCAAAAAAGCAAATAAAATGTTGCAGATCAAACTACAAATTCCTGTTATTAGTATTAAAATAACACCTTTCAAGCTAAAAGTAATATGTAAAGATATGTTTACATGCTGAACATATTTGGGGCCTTTTTTCCACTTGTTGACAGAACAAGTATTACATGATGCAAGCATTACTGCCTCAAATTGCACCTCTATACACAATCCAAAAGTAAAAATAGTACTTTTACTGTATCTACATTCTTTATGGTCTTTGAGTGGCCTTAATGGCACTAATAGTTCATTCTTTGTAGTGCCTCAAAATATCTCAATACCATCTAGAGAAGCTTTCTGTTTTCAGTCCTGTTTTCAAGAGTTTCTTTGACCCTTTAAACCTAATAGCTTCCTTTAAATTTTAGCAAGTATGGTAAAATGTAAGATGTGATAAACACAACCAAGAAAAGGCTATTCCTTCACAGGGTCATAAGGAAGATTTTTTGAACGTACACTGTTGCTATAATTTAAAACATAATGTTATGGTCACCCACAAAGCTTAGGCTGTAAGGTCACCCTGATGTGCCCAAAGATCTCTGGCTACTTTTACTAGAAATAAGACAATCTTTTTGAGGAATATGGTAGTATCTTGGATGTGGACAAAAGCTTAAAAGAGGTAGGTCCTCTGTAGTTGTGGATAATAAGTGGGCAAAATTATTACCTACTCTTCTACTCAGTCATGAGTTAGTGCCAAAAAGAATATGAACAATTCAAATGCCATTCAAACAGTTAAGCATTAACCAATTTTTTTTTATTAACAATAGTTAAATAGGGCTGGGGATTTAGCTCAGTGGTTCCTCTGCCTGCCTCAAAAGTGCAAGGTCCCGAGTTCGATCCCAGGTAAAAAAAAACAACCAAAAAACAACACTTAAATAGATCAAGTTTGAATATAAAATATTTTGATTAGACAAAAAATTTATTTTGGAACGCGTATTTGTTGTTCTAATATTGTTCGTGATAAAATAACCTCTGAAAGCAGTAATAGAAGGAAACACTACTCTGTAAATCATAGTGTTGAACCCTTAGGGGAAGAAACAATGAACATAGATCCTAACCCTGCACCACACGTTGAAATAAATACTAGTTAAATATAAGAAAAGTACAGATAAACCTCTGGTAGAAAAAAAGGTACACATAACTTTAAAAGAAGCAAAAGTAGTCAATGAACATACAAAAGTCCAGCTTCCCTAGTTAACAAACAAGTGAAAATTTTGTATGTAAGTTGGCATTTTATACCTACCAAGTTGAAAAATACTTTTCAAAATTAGGGCCGGGGATTTAGCTCAGTGGTTCTGGTGCCTGCCTCGCAAGCTGAGGACCCGAGTTCGATCCCCAGTACAAAAAAAAAAAAAGAGCACTTCCACACTCGACCAATGGGAGCATTAATTATTTAATACTTTCTGAAGGCAATTTGGCTAGATAAGTCTATACAAAAGTCCTAAAAAATACTTGTACTCTCTGATCTGATAAATATGCATCTGTTATTTTTATAAGATCAAAGTTATGTGAAAAAGGCCTTTGTTCAAAGATGCTTATTTAGAAGAACCCTAGATGAACAATAACAAATAACTAAATTATGATGCTTCTGAAGAATACAGTATCAAAATATAACTGAAAATCATGTTGTAGAAGAATATTTAAGGCCATAAAAATTATTCACATAATATAAAAGGACAAAAAGCAGATTACAAGTACAAACTGCATGTGTAGTAAAACAAGAGGATCATGTTCTCCTAAAGGTGAATGAGTGGTTATCTCTGGAAAGTGTCAATTATATGATTTATTCATAAGCTATTCTGTACTTTCTACAATTAATGTATATTAATTTATTAAATTAATTCATTGAAGAACTTATTATACCCCTTACTAGGAATACAAGACCGACAAGGACCTGGCTCCTAGGGACTTACAATTCACAGAAAGAGACATAAATATCCACAAGTAAATAATGACAGTGTGCTTTCAGAGGATGTAAATTCAGTGGAGAAAATAAAAGTGACATGAGAGGGGAAAGAGAAGAGAATGACACAGGTTTGGCAGCTAGAGAAAAAGGGAGACCCTGAAGTGTTTGAGGAAATAACATTTAACTGAGGATAAGAAGGAGGTGGTCACACAGAGCTTCAAGACTGTGTGCTGCCCAAGGAGAAGGACAAATGATTGCAGAGGCCTGGAGAGGGAACAAGCTGAGAAGCTGCACCACCATAAAGAAGGCCACAGAGGCTGGCAGGTAGTGGGATGGGAAAGAGCATCCTATTAGAGGCAGATGGAGCCAGATTATACGAGGCCCTAGAGGCCATGTGACAAACTCAATTTTAAATGCAATGGAAGATTTGGAAGGGACTTTAAAAGGGTGACTAAATTAGACAGGATCTGATTTAAATTAAAAAAAATTCACTCTATCTGCTGTGAAGAGCTAGAGATGAATAAGGAACTGTTGTGGCTGTCCAGGTGGGAGGCAATGGTCGTCGTGACAACAGTAGGGATGAAATATAGCAGCACATTTGGGATATACTTTGGGTTTCCCATTATTCTTAAGTTAAAAAGCTCTTAGCATTCTCTTGTATGTTCTCCTTTCAGTGGAGAGAAGAAAGAGAAAGGACTATAATAGCATCTCAAAGCATTTCATAATGCTAGGAGATCCAGCTCAGCAGTTTTCTGTGAGCACTTCTTTCTGTGCATGGTGTCTTTACCCTGTGAGCTTTTATTTATTTTTTTAAATCCCTGCAGAGGTCATGTTCACTCACCATGAATGCACATATATACATTCACTACATTTAACATACACACGTGTGTGGAGTGTGTATGTACTAATAATTTATTATCATATATAGAAATCAGTTTCTGTAGGTAATCAGTTTCTATATAGGATTTTAATTTGATAAGCTCCAGCAAAAAAAATCAAGCTTATAAAATTTGAATTTAAAAAATGAAAAAGAGAAGCATTTGGGGAAGATGGAAGACTGGTAAGGAGCAATAAATTATCCTATCCAAGATTTGGAATCTAGACACTGGAACACAAGAAATTGGGGCAGAAAAGGAGGGAGGTAGATTCCTGGGACCCAGAAAGGATCTGAAAGGAAACTGAAGCCTATAGAGAAATTGAAGATTCAGATTACAACACAGAAAAATGAAGGGGCAATCTGCACATTCCCCCTGGCTCCTGGCTCCTGGCCAGAGAAAGGAAGATTGAATCTACAGAGACACAGTGAAAGTGGGAGACTCCGGAGGCATTCAGGGAGAAACACAACAGTGGATGCTGTGCACTACAATAGCTGGTGAATGACTCTCTAGTCCAAGTGTCTGCCATATCCCTGGAGAGGGTTACCTAGTCGGATACCATTTTCAGGAAGGGTCAACTGAACCTGGGATTTGGAGCAGCCACAGGTTGGCTTCATCTCAGAGCTTCCAATGTTAAACTCCCACAGTGACTGGATGAAGATATCCACAGAAGAAATACATGGTCAGAGAGCCATAGTCAGGCTGGCAAGAGACACTAGGGTGTTATAAGCTAAATGACTCAGGCCCCATTCCTAGGACCAGAGCCCAGGTTCAACCTGACTCTCTGTGGATTTGAAAGTCTCAAACTGGTACACTGTCCTAATCCTACTGCCAGATTCCTGGGATTATCCAGCAAGATCTGGGATCTGATTGTCTCCCTGGTCTACCATTGAGAGCAGAGTCACACCTTGAAATGGACACTGTAACAAAACTGTAGACCTCAGAAAATAACTGCAGGGTTGAAATCATAAAGAAAATTCTCTTTTTTCCTTTGTTATTGGTCTTTCTAAAAATTTTTGTTCATTTGTTTTTTTCATTGCTTGCTTTTCTTGGTGAGTGTGAACATTGTTTTTAGTTATTTTGTTTTGTTTTGTTCTTTTGTTTTCTCCTTCTTTCCTTCCCTCCTGTCTTCTTCACCTGTTTCCTGAGGCTCAGGTAATCTTCCTTGCTTCTAATCTCTTTTAATTCTTTAATTTCTCTATTTTTTCCTCT